CTAATGTTATTATACAAGGCTTAATATAAACCAGGAATTTTCCGTGTTTCTGGTTATTCTCAAAGTCATTACGAGCCCGACGTGGCTTTAGGGAAACACAAGATAAGATTTCGTATGGTTAATCGCAAGCCTAGACAAACATCGCTGCGCGGAAACGTAATAGAAAAGTCAGATTTTATATTATTTTTGTCGAAAACAAGTCGCGCTTAGTAGCGGTTTTGTTAGCAGAAAAAAGGTAGATAGGTATCTGAATTTCTTTAAAAAACCTACCTAGTTTGTAAAAGCATTTTAACATTCAAGGATATAGAATAGCAAGGAAATACTAAAGCAGTTTCAAAACTGGGTAAGGTTAACAGATCGGGTCGGTTAAATTACTATCGTCTTGGAATACTGAAGTCAAATCTCTTGGCTCAAGTTAGAGCCTGATGAGATGAAAAGCATTGATACATTGTTTCCTATACTTTTTCTCAGAACAGCGTGAGAAACAAAGATTCAGATCAGAATGCAATGTTTAAATGGCAGATAAGTCATCTGTAGTAAATAAGAACAATGTTTTCACTGGGCGTGTTTCAATCAAATCATTGTGTGGCGCACCACAGAGAAAAGAAATCGAGAGGGTTTTTTGTTACAATTCTGTAGTTCAGATTATATGTATGGTATACTTAGATATCCGTTAAAAATGCCCAAAAATATAAAATCCTCAAGTACACATTGTAGGTAGAATAAAAGTAATTTTTATCTTGGTTTTTTAACCTACTTCAAAAAAGAGGGGATTCGAGTCGGTTTTTTTTAAACTTAGATAATGAAAAAATAATAAATTGACAAATCCTTTTATGCTCCGCTAAGATAACCCTGCCACCAGTCCACAAAAGTAGCACGACTATTTCTAGCATTTCCTTACAATCACGTATCCAGAGTTTCTACGTGTTTATCCCCTTAGGAACAATACCAACAAAACTTCGTAGCAACTAATTGGCCAACTTCTGTACACTTTAACAACTAGTTGAATTATGTCCGGACTGAAAAAGTTTCAAGTTTCAACCAAGTATTCGGATTTTCTCGTTCGTCTTAAGCTGAGTTTACCAGCTCGAACTCCCCAACAAGTTGCAGATAATGTAACCTCAATTTCGTTTGTACCAATAAAGATTTGCTCAATACTTTACTGAGTAAGTATCTAATGCATTCATTGTTTAAAAAATTAAAAATACGGTTTTAATTGTAGTTATGTCCTTGTCATCAGGAGAAATGAACATAAATAAGTATTATCTAATTTGTCAACTACGACGAAACAAAAACAAATGACACGTCAATGACGTCAGACACAAAACGACAAGGGCAGAAATATATCATGTAATCTTCTAAATTCAAATTATTGCCGCCTTTAAACCAATACGAAAGAAACAAATGACACATCAATGACGTCAGACCCAAAATAACGAGGGCAGAAATATATCGTGTTCTCTTTCTAAATCCAAATTATTGCCGCCTTCAGAACAATACAAAATTAAAAACAAATGACTGAAACAATCTTTCTAAATCTAAATTTTGCCCGCCTTTAATGAATACAAACTACAAGTATTAATAGTCTGGTTCCGTGTATCTTACGGAACAATAGTTACACGTTTTTTACATACATAGGTAATACAAAACCGTTTGAGACAAATATATTCAGATTAAAATAAACTAGAATATATGCTTTTTATCGCATGACCTCTTCAACAGGAGAAATCGACATATCATTTACTTTATGAGCCCAAACTCGATACAAGTATTTACTAATTGGCAGTCGGATGTTCCATACGTCACCTTTCAGTTTCACCATCAGATCAGATTACTCCATAATATTGTGTGGTCATCTTATTTACATACAATTTTCAATTTTCATGATGATGACATGACAACAATAAGAAGTACTAAGTACGTGTAGGTAATTCTGATTATTTAATTTTATAACATAGTTCAATGTTCAAATAATAATGTCATAGTTCAAATAATAAAAGCGTGTTAATAAAAGTAAAGCGATAGCACATATTTGTAATTGTGATCATGAATCAGATCCCTGATGAGAACCTTCGCTATTCACATAGGATTGTACTCGAGTAGTACTTATCGTGGACACAAAGCTGGTATACAGAATCGCAATACACCATCTGTTGACAGCGTAGCCATGGAATTCAAGTTCGATTGATCTTCGAGAGATTTTCCATAGCAGGCCGCGTTGAGAGGCCGACGGCATTGAGTTGTTATTGTGTGTGGCGAGGCAGTCAGTAGCGAGGTAGCGAGGTAGAGCGCTTGTACGAACGCGAGGTCGACGGCCGCGGCCGAGGGCTCCACGCGGGGGTGTGATACGGGGTTGCTTTGCACTTCCACCTCGCTGCACTCATTTCCGCATAAATACTACCTGCTTCGCCTTATCAAGACGTAGGCCTATCGTGATTCGTGATACGCATCTCTCACTGAATAATTTTAGAGAAAATAATCTGTGAATGTAATAATTACATGTCATTAACACAATTTTATTTGGTACCTAATACATCAAATGTAAAGCACAATAAACTGTACCCCCGTGACCACTAACAAAAATAAATTACCAGCTAAACCGACTTCGTCCAACTAATCAGCACAAACCAGCTCCGGTTAAAAGGAGAAACGCAATTTGAAGTTCCCCTTAAAAGTTTCGAAAGCGCAGGAGTGTGGGTGAAATAAAACAAAGGCAGGCACGCGCCCGCCGCGGCACTCATGCTGAGTGCTCTGCTTTGTGGCAGGCTGGGCGATACAATGCAATACGCGGTACACACACTAACAAGGCCGAAGTCTACTGAGCATAGCCAAGTAGGCTTCCACCGGCATACGCGTCCGATGCGGAACCGATATTGTGTTACCTGCTAAATGTAAGGCCTCCACAATACGTTGCTACTATATTTAGTTACCAAGAGAGGTATGCGATACTGGTAATGTTTTGGCAAAGATTTTAAATGTGAAATAAGGAAAAACTAAATAAAACGTATATTCGGAATCCGTTTTATATTAGATGCTATACCTAACTATCGTTACAATACACTCAAATTCTTTTGCAATATTCAATTTCATCGGTTCAAGTTCTAAATAAATTGAACCAATAAAATCTTTCCAAAAAAGCATTTCCACTTGATTGTTGGTGTCCTTACGGTCGACTGTGCAGCGAGGATCATTAGTGAGGTGAACACTAATGATCCTCTCGATCGGGACAGTTCGCCGGAGGAGACAAGCCGCTCCATCGAGATAGCGGAGACTTCACCAAATATCGGATTTTCCGTGTCAAGAATTCATAACAAGAATTTTACAAAAGCTCGCCTCAGGCCTTCCAATCACTCTTGACTTCTCGAGCTTTTAAATATTTCTCAATATTTATGCCTTACTGATGAAACCTCGAAAAATGGAACAGCATTTGATCTTTATTTTCTTTTCTATTTTTAAAAAAATGCAATGCAATTTTGATTGCTTTTCTTAAATTCTGATTTTTAAATTAAATCTTTCACGACATTATACAGCAGTTTATTAGGCAAAATATGAGCATACCATCTAGCGGCTAGCGGACACCCCACTCCGCGCAGGCTTATCGAGAGATAGCGAAAGAGCACTCTTCTATGTAAAGGGTTGCTTTGTGCCTCCACTAGAACCTCTTTTCAGACGTGAAGACGTGCTTCCATCAAAATATAGGTACCTACTTATTTTGCTTAACAAGTTGATAAATTAATAAAATTGAATTTATATTCCAAAACTTGCTTAACGATAATTTCCTTCGATAAACTATTTTTGTTACTTTTCTTGACCTTTTGAACAATACATGATGTAGGTGTATACATAAAGGTACACTGATAGGCTAGGGATGAACCGTCCAGCGCCCACCTACTCTTACAACATATACCGGAGATTATAGTTACAAAAAATATCATTATAATTAAGGATACTTCCTTAATTATAATGTTATGTATGTTTGTATTATAATTTTCGTGATACATACTAAATACATTATTATGTAAGGAATGTATAATATAAGGAAGTTGATATGGTTTAAATTCAGAACAAGATGAAATGTTAAAACTGTTTAGATACTGGGTAGATGAACAGGCACCATTGTTCAGACAAATAGGTACAATAGAAACGTTTCTAGATAGAATGAACGTAATAGAGCTACATCACGGTTGATTGATATAAGGATGTAACTATATCGTTATCCTCTAATTCACTTCTAATGGAACAGTTAAGGAACCGTTCTCGAGGCGGGGCCAGTCCTCGTGAAGGAAATGAGTTCAATTTACCATTATCTCGGGGAATTGAGTGGTGCGACCTCGCTCGCCACTTGTTATACTGACTTATTTAGTATGACAATCCAACTAGAAAACCATCACGGAAATTGCACGGTTGCAAATTGGGTTCGCTCTACTGCTACGGCGGGTGACTTATTGAATCAGATTTTATTGAATACTGAGCTTTAGGAACGTGGACCTTCTGTTTTAGCTTTGTAAATTAGAGCTGAGTGCAGCATACGTTTTCATGCGGTGCGTTTAATTTACTGTTAATACGTAATTACACGTCTGAATACATATAGATTTTTCAAGGACTCAATGTGGATATATTTTCAAAAGCTAACAAGTGACATAACGTAATATTTTATTTCACATAAGTGTAAACTATGACCTACATTTTACATGCAATTTTTCTCCCAATTCCATGGGTCTTATGTAATAGGGGCAAGAATTATACCAGATGGTATGCACTGGGCACTGTGAGCACCGACTCTATCGTCTAGTAGAATGTAATACTGAACACTAAACAATTTTAAAAAGCACCATCACTCGCAAGATTTCTTAAACTGTCAAACACCAAGCGGTCACCGGTGACCGCAACCTATTGTTCTATAATTGTGTCTACAAAACCGGTACTCGACGAGTTAATATTATGAAGGGCTCCTTTATTATGATTTAAACCGGTGTTGATATGTATGTGGTATGTTACAGCGGGTGTGATGACGTGCAGCGTTCGCTGGAGCTGTTGGACCAGGTGCTGAGCGAATACGACGAGGGCGAGCCGAGGTCGCTGGAGGCGCGTGCGCAGGTCACACCGGCCACGCCCGCCACTCCCGCAACGCCAGCCACCGACGACGACTCCCCGCTCGCGGGGCACACCTCCGAGGACGATGGATACATGAGCATGAACGGAAGGAGGTGAGAAAATATAAAACATTAATTAAATAAAAAATATTTAAATTAATTAAATAAAAATGATAAAATTTATAGCTTAAGCCGGTAAACAAGCAGACGAATCACCTGGTGGTAAGCAGTTAGTGCCGCCCATGGACACCTGAAACGCCAAGGCGTTACAAGTGCGTTACCGGCCTTTTGAGAATTGGTGATTTGAGGATTGTGGAGGATTCGACGATTGGGGAGACTGGGGAAGGGGTAATTGGGCCTCCGGTAACCTGTCTCACACGACGAAACACAACGCAAGCGTTGTTTCACGTTGGTTTTCTTTGAGCCATTAAATTATGTTATTGGCATAAACATTTATTTATTTCAACTCTTACAGCTAACATTACAGGTAAATTATATAACCTAATACGTTTGTGAGGCGCTTTCCTAATGCGTTAGTGAGGAACATAGTATGAGAGTCACTATGTTTAAGGGTGCTTCAATTTTACGACGAAAAATATCTGAGCTGGTACCAATTCATTTTTCAATCATTATACGACCTGTGAATTCTCACTGCTGAAAAAGGCCTCTCATATGGAGATAAAATGATTTTCGACTATTTTAATTTTAAGAATGATAGAATTCAATCTTGTTTTTAGCTTAACTAATATACCTACATTTTCTAATGTTTCAGAGCGAAGTTCGCGCTGGGTTTCCGTCCGACGGAGGAGCGCGAGGAGCCTTCGCCCCCGGATCCGCCGTCACCACGCTCCCCACCGCCTCCTGAAGAGGCCCAGCGCATTATCTCCACGTTACTACCCAAGTAATTACACACTTTTTTGTACAACATCATGCCTTTTGACATTTAGACAATAGAAGAGGTGTACGATCAGAATATGGCATTCACTTATTACCAGTTTATGTATGCAAACATCAGCAATTTTCGGTCTATTCAAAATATCTAAAATGGAAAATCCACCGTCACCAACCCAGAAATAGAAACGAAACTCCTTCTTACTATCAAGACAAGAGAATAAAATAAGCATAAAAAATCATCTCTAACCGATACATTTCCCAGTAAATAACTTTCTGAAAACAGAATTATCTAACAGCTACAATCTTCTAAAGACGTCGTACAGTTGAAACAATTTGCTTACAAAGTCACAATAATGTTACAGAGTGTCACCGGCGAACTCAGCAAAGCGAACGATATCAGTGGAACAGCGCGAAGCAGAGGAGAGACTGGACTCCATCATCAGCGTCAATGGGATAACCACTGCGACACAAACCACTTTTGTAAGTACTTTATACTTTAGAAGATATTAAAAGATAGACCAATTGATGAGTATTATATATTTTTCATATCATCGATGCGGATGGATATGGCGTAAGGTCCATCGCTTACGCCATGAAAATGGCATAAACAAAAATAATTAAATCAAATACATACGTTGCTAATTTTATTATCTTTAAACTAACAACCAAATAGTACACTGACATTTACTGTTTACGAATTTCAGCCGAAAACCAGACATCAAAGACCTTACGGATGGGAAAAAGACACGGAAGCTAACGGGTTCCAGCTCCAGCAGCCTCCAGTTCCTCCGTACAGGTTCGCATCGCTGCAGCACGGGGCGCGTCCGCCACAGCCTGACGCCGCGCTAGCCTGGCTCCCGCCGCGCCACAACGCACCGCAAACCAACCTAAAGAAGTCACCGAGTGTCGAGAATCCGCCTGTATTCCCCTTCATGGGTTTCTCCAGTGAATTCAACGACAAACCATACAATGAACATCCAGTCACAATATACCCAGGTCCAAACATACAATTTAAAAAAGAATCTCATTCACCGACATACAATATACCAAAAATTTCACCTTCCAACACAAAAAGTTCAGAAAGAAAGAACAGCATGAAACGCGACAGTAGGTCGGACGGTGAAATGTTATCACCCAAAGGGAAAATACCTCCCCGAACTCTCGCCGGTTCTATGGAGCGACATAGAGAAGTGTGTAGAGGATCTACGGAGGATATGGTTGTGAGCTGTAAGAGGAGAAGTTCAAGTAAGAGTAACGACGAAGAGCATTTTTCGGACGATTCATTAGAAGAGTCGTTCCCACCGCCGCCGCCCGCTGCTGTTACTACGCCTTCGAAACGCAATTCCATAGCATGGGAAGTGTCACTCGATGGTGATGACCCTCTACTTACTCCAGGAAGCACAAAGGTAAAGTTTGTTATGTAATAAATAAACAACACAAAATTAAAATTGCCGATATGGAAAGCTGCAACTTCGAAATATAAAAAGCATTAATACTAAAATCTATTAATTGCACTACCACAATTCTACTATTATTAAACAAAATATTTAATTTCTTACAGGTAATAGGCCGACGAAGGAGAAAATCAGGTGATCAGTCCCATTCTAGCACAAGCTCAATACCACAAAGAGTAGATGATGACTGGGGAGAAGAGTATTGGCCCCCACCACCTCCACTGACACAATGTGAATCTCTTATTTCGCCTAATTCAGATGCCGAGCAAGAAAATCGGCGTGCACAAGACCTGGCTTGTGGTACATATGTTATAAGAAAAGGCAAAAATCGTAAGCAACTACCAAGTTTCAATAAGAGCACCGCTAGTAAGTCACCCACCAATCTACTCAATAGTCACAGTTTGAATAGAAGTTTAGATACTGACAAGTCTATTGACGGGTCGAGCATATCAATCAGTGGCTCTGGATCAGTAGGCTCATACAACTCTCGACCGAGTTCAGATTTAAGTTTGCCGCAATCTCGTTATAGTGTTGACTTGAACTCCAGACTGAGCCGTGAGCTTAACACTCCAAACTCTAGATATAGTATAGATCTCTGCACACCGAATTCTAGACTGAGTAAAGAAATAACATCGCCAAAATCTCGTCTTAGTTTAGATCTTAATAACGGCCCAGATAGATATATCACTCAGGAGTATTTCGGTCACAGTCCGAAAAGTAGAAAAAATCACAATGAGAAGGGTACATCTAAAATTCAGAGCAAGCTATCGCCACAGAATAGATTTTCAGACTTTAAGAAGTATTCATCGACTTTCGATAATATTCAGTCACTTATAAGAGAAGGAAAGGTAGAGGAGACACCTCCGACGGAATGTAACGAAACCGTCAATGAACTGACCACGGTGCCTCCAAACATGGTGCGAGTGGTGTCTCTGCCGAGTCTGGGTGCAGAGGGAGAGGGTAACAGCTCCAGCCGCCAGGCGCTCATCACCACCGTGGAGGAGGAGGAGGACGCCGACAGTGCCGAGCCTGGCTCCAGCGGCGACACCTCTCCTTTGCGCAAAATCGAAAACAATATTAGCGCTATATTAAGTCAAGGTCGGGACCAAAAACATTTTACCCCATATATACCTAAAGACTGGAATATCCATAAGGATGAATACTGTGATGACGTATCTAAAGATATATTAGAAAACAATTTCCGTTATAGTTCTAGAGAGAGACAAAAGAGACATGATATCCAGAAGTCGTCGAGTCACAATGAAATACAGAATCAACGGTCAATAGACCGACGTGACCGTTCCAAGAGGTCTAATAGTATGCATAAATCCACAAGCGCCAAAGATGTACCAGTTAGTTTGATGCGGCAACCGTCATCATCTGACTCCGCTGTGTCGAGTGGAGGAGACTTCCCGTTGAATGTTCAAATAGTTGAGCACTCCTATAGACACCCTACGCTGCCGCTTCCTCCATCACCAATATTAGGGCATGAAATGGGACCCCTACCGCAAACCCCAGAATCGCCTAAGTTTCCTCCGTTGCCTCCCTCACCTGTGCAAGAAGTTGAAGATGAATATACAGAAATTATGCAACCTTCAGAGAAGCGTCATGTGAAAAAAGCAGATACGTTACCGACGCCAACTATGGAATCAAGGAGAAGGTAATAAATATTGTTTTTGTCAAATAGAAATATACTTTTTTATAACACTTAATTAATATTTGTTAATTAATTTATTTATTTATACTTTATTTTATAATTTGAGTACAATTTAACACATTTTTGTGAAATTTATAGGCCTTCCGAACCCCCAGCGGTACCGCCGCATCGAGATACCACAAACAGCCTTAAGACGCGATCTATGGAAACCAGTTACAACAAAAACAGAAGAAGCAGCAGTAACTTCAAGACTGGATCAACAGACAGAAGAACTTTACCTACTGGTAAGAACTAATATCTACCATTTTGTCTATTTTTCCAAATTACGAGTAAGTAGAAATTAAGATCATTTGGAGAAGCAAGCTCATAAACATTATTACATGCATTTTTTGTTGTTTTTTTATAATGTCACACGTTTTATACCTGAAGAAGTGGACAGTGTATGACATAATGGCAACATATATACACAATATAACATTAGTTCTGTTCTGTTGAGTCTTATGTAATAGCAGATAGCAGCCATATTGTATCTATTCGCTTACTGGGAGCATTTTCAACGTCGCATTTTTATATCTTTGAAAATAAGAGCAAAGCTCTGCTTTCCTGCTATTGTTCTGATCTTGTCGAGTTTACCTTACTGTTATTTTAAGTAACATAACATAATGTCACGCCTTTTATACCCGAAAGGGTAGGCTCTGCCTGCACACAACGGCACATAATGCCACTGTACAATGTAACACCCACTTTTCACTATTTATGTTATAAGTCCCATGTAATAAGGGGTGAGCCTTGCAACATACATATTGTTGGAGCAAAAACTCCTTTGCGTCACCTCATTGATGACGTTTATTATTATAATCTTTTTTATGTTCCAAATTCAATTTTTTTTCTTTATCTTAAGTTTTTTATATGTAATTGTATACATGCGTTCTATCCGTCAACAAATCTTTATTTCATTCTTTTATTACAACATCTTATCTAAAAATCATTGAAATTATTAATATTACCCTGCACTCTCAAACACATATTATTTTAAGTAACAATAAAAACAGTTAGAAATGCTGAAGCGCTAAATAACCTATTCTATTGTAAGACTCCTTAAGTTCACGGAGACTAGCATGATAGTACTGAAAATTGCAAAATAACATTAGGTCCTAGCTATACTTTTAATATCAAATGTTGGCGCAAAAACTTTTGATTTTTGACGAATTAATAGATCTGAAATGTTCTCTACTCTGAAAGAGTGATTCCTTCACAACTTCATTAGTCAAATGGGCATAATTTTGCAAATCCTAATTTTTTTTGGAAATTCTTTAACTGCTTGATTGCACCGATATGAAACACAATAGAAAACACATTATATCGCACGTGGATCCGCGTTTATCACACGATAGGACATATTATTTCATGTTCTGTTATTGAATAAATGTATGGGACCTACAGATGGTGAAAAGTAGGGCTTACATTGTTGCTGTTATGTTATCTAATTCTACCTGTTCCTTCTGGAATTGTAATATTATCATGCACACTGGATTTTGATAATGATTTGAACATGATTCATGATTTGAACACTAATTTGGAGTAATACCGAATTAAATTTTCGTTTATGGGGTGACATGATAATTCTAATATTTAGTCACAATGACTCGGGTAATAAGCACGTAAACAGCTACCTACCATTTTACACAAATTCTTAGATGGCGCCACCTTCGTTAAAGCATGAATTATGTTTATTTTTTAAATAAATGCAATCACACATACCTAAATAACGTCACATCTTCAATCCTCTAAAGGGTAACCAGATATTTATTTTATAGTTCTTTTTTTTAAAATCGCTAAAGTAATTTATTAATTTCCTATCATGACAGAGAATATTGCTTTGGCATGTATCATAAATAATAATTATTTAAAATAAGTACTCACGCAATTCAAAATTAATCTCGAGACCAAAGAGAAGTCAATGGTTAGTACCTATGTAAAAAACGAATCGCCTTCGTTTTCGGTACATTATTGATTATTCAAAGTCTACAGATTTCAGTTACTCGATAAATAGATGATTTTGTTCTAGAACGCCTAATTGGGTATTTTTCTAACTACGGTGGATGGACTTTGATTAAAAATACTAACCTACTTTCCAATTTGTAACTGTAATCTATTTTGTATTTCAGATATCGGAGCGAGCGGCGCTAGACGTAGGACGCTACAGAGACAAAATCGCGAAGCTACCGCAACTGGCCGGGGTCCTTTGCAGACATCTGCCAGTCTGCCTGAGACACCAGTATTTGCTCGAGGATGCGACGTTCCTCGCACCCCACCGAGAAACTCTACGGGACCCCCCAGGAACAATACAATGAACTCCATACAGTCAATAGGTTAGCTTTTTTTCATCTATTTAAATCTAGACACAAATAGAACATCCACATGTCGATCCGCACGTCAACACACACATGATGCTCCAGTCCAAATAGATAATTTTGTACTGGGACTTTGGTACCAGTATAATGAAATGTTGCTTGTATTATTGTTAATTATGAATAACATAAAATATATTTATGGAACAAGGAAACTGTTAGATATGAAGTTCGTTGGCTTCATTACCAGTGTAGTGTATAATAATAAATTATTTATGTTATCTAATTTATAAACTGCCTGACTTATATGAAAATTATAGGCACTGGCCACAAGCACGATGCAGGTTCAAACTCGGGTCGGATAACGTATAATTGGATTTTTTCAGTTATTATAAAATACTCAGTTATCACACGAAATCTGATATTTATCGAGCAGGAATTTACGAACCACATTGGTGTTCATTAACACGTTGAACGCCATAGGGTTCACCGGTGACCGGCGTTAGCGGAGGATTTACCTTCAACTAGAGGTATTTTTATTGGCAGACAAAGTCTCAAAAATAAGTGTTAAAATTAAAAATAACCTGAATTTAAACCGTAGACCTTTAGGAATACAGGCTTCACGTAAAGTCTTATCAGATATTTAAACCTTTACGAAAAACCTATGACAAACGTTAATGTAATTTAATTTGCACACGCTATAGTTATTTTCTATTTTAATTAACAATACGAAGCAATAACACTTGTATAATTAGAATCGTCCTTTACTGTAACTACAAAACAAACAGGTAATTTGCATGTAGATAGTCCAAGTCGGGTAAATTGCCTATTAACACGACAAGTACTAATAATACCTAAAAACTATAATCGTGGCATTCGAGGCTATGATGTCATGCATGGTGTGTGGTATGATAATGGTAGTAAACATGATATTGTTGTTTCCATCGCTCTTCATTCGCCATATGTGCCTACTTACAGCCTTTGTATGAATCTAGAGCATGATGCTATTCATGAAATACATCTATTAAAGACTAGCGATTCTGGCGCGGTTTCACCCGCTCTGCTCGGGTCTTATAAGTCATAGCGTGATGTTTTATAGCTTATAGCCTTCCTCGATAAATGTACTATCTGACACAAAAAATTCAAATCGGTGCAGTAGTTCCGGAGATAAACGCGTTCAAACAAATAAACTCTTCAGCTTTATAAAAATTGTTTAAGAATAAGTTCTACAGTCACTATCATTTCCTTGTCATTGCCATCTGTCTAATATTAAAACATAATTTTTCTTGCAATTATTGAATGTATATATACTATATTTATTCATTTATTTTCGCATATACAGTACACAGGAAAACGTATGTATGTTAATAAAACTGTAGTACATACATAGGTACTTTACTGTACTTATTCGGTAAGCGATATTACCTCCTCACTGTATTATCGCTTACAAAAATATTGAAAAACTACTATAGATTCCATACTAAAAAATTAAGCATGAATTGGGTGCCTCAACAAAATTAAGTAGACTAAAACATTTTAAAAACTTTGTTATGAAGTAGCGTTTGCTTAATGTACCTATGCAATATTTTTCACGATACTTTATGTGGCTGCTTTATATACTGCCTAAAACTGCATATTATACGGACACCACTGGCTATAAGGATACGATGACAAGCCATGGTAATTAATTTAATACTGACAGCGGATGCTTTCGATTGTGTTATTTTAAGCACTGTTACCGCAATAGTTTCAAAAAGTTACGGCGTACTTTCACACTATAGTAAAACCAAACAAGAAATACGTTATTAGGCCAACAGCATCTGTTGTCGTTAATACTTGAACATACGTGCCCTCATACCATCACATACTTACGGAAAATAAAATATAATTATATATTTTTAGGTCTTCATGTGCAATGATAGCTAGTGCTTAGCCTAGTGCCTATACTGGCCTATACATATTTAACATTCTATAAAATTTAGGAAACTAATTAGAGGTCAGTTGTTTGGCATTTTTTACTTTTACTCGACTATATTCTAGCTTTACTAGGGTGTTATGTTGATGAGCAGTATTTCAAAGATACATAAATAAATACAGTACGTAAATTAAATTTCTTTATTTTGATACAGGAAGCTCAGCGACATTGGGTGGATATGGTCGTGGCTCCGTGATGGGTGCTACGGGAGTCTGCACTGGAGCCGACCTGCTGCGGCTGGGTGGACCACCACGGGGCTGGTATCCTCGCCAGAGACACAGGTATAAATGTACTATGAAATATATGTATAACAGCCATTATTAAAACTTTATTGAAGGTTTTTCTTTAGTTACTTTAGTCAGTAGCCTAAAAATTCTATTCTAGTATTATGTAATAGTCTTGGGAACGTAGAGATGACAATCGTAATCAATCGTTCCATGTAAATGCTGGTTCAACAAATTCTGGATAAAAATTAAATTAATTGAAAGATTAAATCGAATCGCTGCAATGTAAGTCTTAATGAAATCGAGAGAACAATCTAATAAGAAAGTTCATCCGGAATGAAAATTTATACTTTAACTTTAACCTATATAATGCTTATACTGATATTATAAAGAAGAAAGATTTGTACCTATTTTTGTATGTTTGTAATGAATAGGCTCAAAAAGTACTGGGCCGATTTAAAAAATTCTTTCACCAGTAGAATGCTACATTCTAGCAATTTGACATAGGCTACAATTCCATTTTGAAAAAAATTAGGGATCCTAGGTAAAATTTGAACAAAGTAACCGAAAATGAGTCTTACAATTTCTTTCGCCGAATGCGCTGCCGAAACTAAAAAAAAAAAAATCGTTTATTAAACACAAAAACTTCCAAAAGATGTAACAGTAGTCTAATTATTATACAATTATGGTAAATTAAAAAATCTTAAAAAAAGAAAAAATATAAAAAACAACTTACATTGAAATAATCAAAGATAAATTTAGGATGAGTGAAACTATTAGCGATAGAACAAAATAATGTACAACAATATTGAAGGACATCATAATGTCTACAAAAAACTCCGCGGTAGCATATGTTCAACTATTGTAGTTATGTCACTACAACAATCCAAATTTCCAAAAATAAATAATTGTCTACCCCGTGCGAAGCCGGGAGGGCTGCCTAGTAATTTATATAAAGGCCAGAATATGTCAGAAAGTATCCAAAATATAGAACACTTGTCTTAAACAAATACAAAAATCGGCCATTTTGTTACCGCGAGTAACTTTATTTTTGTCCGTTTTTAGCACTAAGTAACTAGGCAATGCATACACCATAATTTATTGTTTAATACAAAATAAAAAAAAACCAGGCAATATGGACCTTATGTCACAGTATTAAAAATCTAGTATAATAAATAAGGCAAACATGCAACTGTAAATATTAACAGGAGAATTTGAAATGTTTGATCAGACATTAGTTGTTAATATTTTTTCCTCAATTTGTGAATACCAACGTCCTTATAATTGTTCCAATTCCAATTAACAGACGTGTTAATTAAATCGGAAAACGAATGTATAACAATAGCTATAGGAATTGTATTGAAATAGATAAAACTCTTTTTGAACTGGGTATTTATTGGAACCTTAAGCTATACCTGTTAGTGCATTACAAGTAGGAGATAGAAAACAAGAAAACAAATAATACCTATCTAATACTACTAATTATATACTATTTGTTTCATGTAATAATGGATGATAATGCCTATGGCATTAAGTTCACCTTATGTACATATTCATGAATTGTTTAAAAAAAATCGTGAACATTAAATTCATTTTGTAGTAGTCTATTTAAGTCTGATGACTTTTAAAATAGAACGAGCTAAGATGTCACCAAACCACAGACCACATCGAGTTCACAAAGAAATGAAATACGTTTATAACATTTCGTAATGTGAATTTTTCGTAATCTTAATTTACTAATACCTAACAAAATCAGTAAGCTAAGCTCTAATTAGCACTCTAACAAATGTGCTTGCTGACAGGCCTGCTTCAACGGAGCACCTGGACCGACTAACAACCTCGTCAAAGATGGCGGTGGAGCACCCAGTGGCATGGGAGGGCAGTGGTGCCCGCAAACCTCTCACACTGCCACCCAACCTGACGCCAAAGTTCTTCCAGAAGTCACCCAGGGAGGCGCTTCGCAGGGTAACCAGCTTACTAATACGAAAAGGTGAGCTAATATTACTACTTATTTATATTTTACACTAATTAACATATGACGTCTACATTACTGTGCAACCCTATATGGAAAATTATACTACGTTAGCTGTTTCTCGGACAGTTTGAGTCACCACATTCTAATCTGGTATTTCATCTCTTATGATCATTCAAATTGTAGATATCTGTCCACACGTTTCCACACACAGGTTCCACAACCTGGAACTATCTTGTCAAAGACATGGTATAAGAACTAATCAGAAGGTATGAAGACACTGCTGATTGTGCTCCTTATTCGATGAAAGATGGAAGTAATAAATAACATTATAGGTATATTTGTATTACACTATCCGTAGAATAATATGCGTGATTTGTTTTATCAAACTTCTCCTTTATCTGCTCCATTCTATGTGACAGTGAACTCCGGATATAGTCCGGACTGATAGCCTGAACTATAATATTATGCTCATATAGATGTATGTGGATTGAGTTCAGTCGATTGTCTTTTATTTACCGATCGTTTTTTTCATCATCAACCGTTTGTCAAACTATTGTTGAGTTTAACAAATATGAGCTGACTCGTGAATAGCGAGAAGGTTTATCAGGATAGTTTGTTCCTAGGTCGCTACCGATATACAATTGCCATTACTCTGATCAAGAAACAACTTGCTTCGGGGATTCTAATCGTAAACATTAAAGACCAAGTTATTGACTGACTTTACGTATTGTTCTGAGAAATTCAAATAGAAAGTCAAATACGAAACTGAAACATCTATGTGAACAGTATGAATGACATAGTTATAGTACGGTCGGATGAAAATAGCTCTACCAAACATCCAGCTCGAGATTGCATTACATGCGTATATCGCCTACGCTGGATCGCCAAGCTTATGTAAATCACGAAACCGATCGAACGAACATGAACCAAATCCCTGTAATAGCCCGTTCTGTTGTTCTAGCAGCGTTTTATTTACAACATCCGTAGCTAATTATAATAATTTTATCGCGACTGTATTTTACATTTAAATTCGATCGTTTCCCCTTAGTTTGTGATATCATAGTTCCTCACAATGTTTCAACCGGACACACCCTGTGATTACCTAACTAACAATCATCAGTTTGTTTATACTGCTAATTTCAGTTTAACACAAATAATAGATTAGGTAAGTAGTTAAAATGATGTTTAAATGTACTTAGATTTATCTTATCGTTAATTCATTTATTTTAACGGACTAACAATTAGTCATCTCATAGCGAGTGACAAGCTTTGTTTAATAACATGTCCTACTGAGGTAGGTACTCGGAATTTGAAGATGTTTTAATGAGTGGGTGTCAGTACTACTGTACCTATCAAATGATAGAATGTCTATAAATAAAATTATAGTCAACTACTACCGAGAAAGATTCATCATTCAAACATTTCATTGATAGAATTGTACTTACCTTAAATTAATTGGGATGATGACAGGGTATGAAAATTAAAAATCTAATTAGTCCGTAAGTTAGGTAATGAAAAAATATTAGACACGTATTTTTTTATTTTGTCGTATAATAAAACAATAATTAGATAAACGAATCAAAGTTTAGGAGTGGGGGCTAAAACGTCATTTCTACGTATAAAATGTACATAGAAGTGACGTCACGCGACATTTCAAATCAATATATCGTCGAATGTTTACGTTTCTGTGAGAAAATTGAAAATACGTGTCTAATGATTTAAAATAATGTACCAGACGGATATTAAAATAAAAATTAGGCATCTAAACTATCAGAATTAAAAACTGTCTCAATTCTTACTCTTTTCTAGGATGTCGTAAAAAAGTCAAGTAGGTATTTATTTAACTAACTTTATATCTTTTTTAATGCCTAACGCTAGGATTTCCTCCTGTGTCGTGGGTGCGTTTACAAACATACAAGTTTACATACGCATGACACCCAGACCTGGAACAACAATCTGTGGATCACACAAAGAGTTGCTCCCTGCGGGATGAAACCCGCGTCACGTTGCGCGGCAGCCACCACACCGACCGTGCAGTCAAAGATGACATATTTGATGGAGACTGGGCAGCAGGCTCTCTGATATATCTGAGCCGTTTGAACTTCATCTCCAAGCCCTTCAGATGTTGGCAAACCACCTTAAATAGAGAAGGTTCATAGTCTTGGTCTGGACGCGGAGTGCGCTCACACGAGTGTAAGATTTTGATATGAAAATTAATGAACAACGTCACATAACATCACGCCTTTTATCCCCAAAGGGGTAGCGAGAGGTGCACATTACGGCACTTAATGCCACTGTACTAATACCCACATTTATATTATGAGTCCCATGTAATAGAGGGCGAGCCTATTGCCATATACCAGGCATAATTCCAGACTCCGTGCTACTACTGAGATTTTTCTTAAAAAGTAATACTTTGCCCGACCCGGGAATTGAACCCGAGACCCCTTCCTTACAGTCGCACTTGCAACCACTCGACCAATGAGACAGTCAAAAGTAAAAATAATGAAAGATAACATATTTCCTATCATCTACTTTTTAAACCAAAAAATTGCCTATCATGATGGATCAACATTTTAAAAAACAATTCACGGACACGCCCGGCGTCGTAAGGAATACATGACATCATTTATAAGTTTAAAACGACCTTAATAAGGTGCCATTAACCTTACATTTGTAACTACCGATGAAATAGAATATTACATAACGCTAAAATATAAACTACTTGGGTTAATGCCAAATATTGGTCGTATAGTAAAACTGATTCGCACTGATCTTGAACGTCCTCTAATAATAAAAGTGATTCTTTTGTTTTTATGCTATCGCATTCATTCATTTATCAATCATTTCTGCCATAGTAATTTTTACTAGTCTCTGTTCACGATTTTTGGTTAAGTACACAAGCACTGATCGTAGGACCATTGAACTCATTTCAATGTTTAGTAAAAACGACATAATTAGTTAATTATCTAGTTCAATTTAATAATTGTATCTAAGAACCAGTAAAGTAAAATAAATCTGTTTGAAAGTCATTAAAAGAGCATAATGTACACTAATTTTATTTATTTCAGCCACAATCTAGATTCTCTACTGGTATAATTAAAGATTAATTAAGAATAAACATGCCTAGCCTACACTTGCATTATCATGTTTTTGTTACAAAACCGGTTTCAGTTTGACCGTTAGATTTCATAAGTGTTGGCATACGGTGCCAATAGATGGCGTTAGTGGTCTCAGTTGTTGGACTTGTTCGTTAGCGATATTTTGTGTGTGTGACTAATTGGCGCGCGGCACAAACAACCGCGGACGTGTCTAAATAGCTGTTTACTTTACGAGGCATAAAACGAAAATTATGTTATCGATTTAAAAGGAAAACGTTGTTTTTCCGGCTTTATTTGAAACAGGTACCTACTTTAGTATGCATTGGATACATGTCATTCTGTCATGTAAACTATTGACCCAATCTTAGTACTTTGCTCATTTATTGATAGCTAATCTATAGCGATAAACCCTCCGACAGTCCTACATAATACAAAGTACATACATAGATACATGTACCTACATCAATAATATTATAATTCAGTACTCTATCTGCGTCGTTGGATTCTGCGCACTTAGGATAGCTGCGTATGGAAGCATAATAGATATTCATGTATGTTACCATTACACTTACATGTAATACCTATGTTTGTAAGCGTGTACTATACCTACGACCACGCTTAATTAAAATTTAACACCTAGGTAAGTGGTAAAAAATGACGAAACACTAATCTGTTCCATTGTTCAATAACTTCGACTCAGTACACATTGAAAAATATTTATAATGTAGGCAATGGTAAGGTATCTTTATCAAATCTTTACGTTTATTGACAAGATAACAAACAAATTAAAAATATATAGGTACTTTATTTTACGGTCCCCACGAAAGCGTAAATGAAAGCGGACCAATGGAAAGTAAATTGATAGATAACTCGTAAAATTCCTAATGTGTGTCGATCACAAAATACTTCGTAAACCTTCTTCTAATTTGTTTACTAGTCACACGTTTAGCTAGTAGGCAGGCCTGTATCAATTTTAATAACCGGTGCACTGTGCAGTACAGTCACCATTAGTATTAAATTACAATGAAACACACGAAATCCAGACCGTGATATGACAAAGAAACTATAAAATGCTAGAATCTAGACAATTAAAATTTTAATTGACACAACAACGTACGGCAAGCATGACTCAAGATATTATATGAATATATTCATAAAACATAAACATAACAATTTCAATGAAACTGGTCTGTGGGCTTAGAATCCTGTTATTATTACAATCTAAATAAACCAGCACATTCGAGCCGTGTAACAATAAGGCGTTAACAATCGCTTACGGGGACCTAAAAAGTTCGGCTGCACAATAGTGAATAGCATACAATGGCGATTCTGTTACCTGCGACATCAATATGTGCATAATAGTATGGCGAGGGCAAGGTATGGCGCGCTGTGCGCTGCAGTCAGTCACAGCAGTGATTCAGAGCGCGCTCACCCTGCATGACTGTGCCTGTGCCGACTGCCGCGTGACTCACCCGCCACCGCGCCACCAGCGCCAGGGAGGATGCCAATACACCCATATTCCGTGATTAATAGAGACGTGAAAGTAGATAATGCCTGACTCCATCATTATTTATTACTCACTCATAAATTATTACTTCTCAGAAAACCGTTTGTTTCTGATTATTCACACATCCGTCGTGACATGAGAAGTCCTGATAGCCACAGTTGTGATGTTCCTTTAAAACATTAATGCATGCAATTTGAGGGTTAGAGAGTAAGCGATTCCACAAAGAACTTGGTCTTGAACCGGTCGTAAGTCGTTACCTAAGAAGGTAACCGGTCAGGATTTGAGGCCAAGATCGTAGCTCAGCGGGCGCGAGTGTAGCTGACGGCTGTGCTGCCCTACATACGACCTCGCCAGCCGCTATCTTCTTTATAAAGCTTGGCCACGAGAATAACAATGATATCGAATTT